AATCTCAAAGAAAAGACCTCCTGAGCAGAGGCTGAAATTTGCAAGTAATTCGAAGAAGACTCTGGGATGGGGTCTCCGAGGGCGGAGCAGGAGACGGGCGTGGGAGCCCCACTGCCGCGCGCACCGTGCTAGGATCCAGGTGGTGCTGACCCCAAGGCCTCTTCCCTCCTTTTCCCCTGGGAGCTTCTCCAGGGTTATTTGGAAAATGAGACGGGAACTCCAGGGTTATTTGGAATATGAGACGGGAACTCCAATTCCTGAGAAAGCGCTCAGGGAGCTGGAGGGTGAGCGCAAATGGAAACTCACTGTCCAGACTGGCGGTAGCCTCAGTAACCAGTCGGCTGCCCGGCTTGCACCAGCACTAAATGCTCGATCAGAAAGAGAAAAAGAGGCGCAATCATTCCAAATTTCAGGAAAAGTCCAATCAGAGAGGAGGACGCACACCTCTCCAGACTGTCCCTTCGCCGGCCTCGCTGAATACCGAGGCCCTATTGACAGCACGCAGGGCCGAGCTCAGAAAGTCTGAGACGAAGATCTGATTCCTTTTCTCCCGGCGCCAAACCGAATTATCCAGTTTCTCCAACCTGAGCTACTAAGAAAGAAAGGTGCATCCAAATAAAACTTAAAATCCGCTGAGAATGACAACACTAAACTAAAAGTTCTTTTTGGGGCCGGTGGATGGGATAGAGGAAAAAGGGCACGCATAATCCCGGAAGGGCCAGGGATTGCGGAGGACTGTGGTCGCGGGTGAATCTCTGTTCCCCTGGGCATATCCACGCAGGTGCTGCCCTGAGAGCGGGCTCGGAGTTACACACTTGGGCGCAGACACAGACCTCTGCTCCTGGGGCCGAGCAGTAGGCACGGTACCGAGCCCAGCGACAGTGCGGAGAGCTCTGCGCACTCACCAAATGTTAGGAGTGCCCGCGACGGACCGCCAGGGAAGGAGATGGGTTCGGAGGGAGTTCCCGCTACCGGGAGGGTCGGAACTCAGGGTGATCACGCAAGGAATGCATCCCTCCGCCGTGGGTGCTTATGCTGCGCAAGGAATCATTCCCAGAGCGGTTGTGATGGCGTCAAATCGTGCATCTAGCGGATTAGGTCCAATACCCGCACCTCGGCCGAATCCCGGGACCCCCGCGGCGCAGTTTCTCCCCCTACCCCCAAACTCTGGGCCCCGAAGTTTGGCTCCACCGCATCGCCAGGGTGCCGGAATTTTCCGAGCAGTCTGCTGGCGCTAAATGAGAGGATCTGTGAGGGAGACTTGGGAGAGCCACTTCTGGCTTTTGTGACGAGCTAGGGGCCTGAGATTTTCTAGTGACAGGAAAGAGGTTTTTTTTGTTGTTGTTGTTCTTCCTTCTTTCCATCCCTCCTCCTCCCCACTTCTTCTTGGTTTTATTGTGGTTTTGGATTTTAGTTTTTGCAATTTGTCATAAAGCAAATGACAAAGGCTTGGAGTTCTTAGTCCAGCTCAGTTCTTTTATCCCTTCTGGTAAACCAGTCTCAAAGAAGGCAAATGACTGACACAAAATATCCCAACCAGCAGCTTCATGGCTGAATTGGACCAGAACCCAACCCAGGCCTCAGGTGGGCTTCTCAAGGGCATCTCCCTCTTTTTTTTCTTTTTTCTTTTTGAGACACAGTATCACTCTGTTGTGAGACCAGAGTGCAGTGGCACCATCTGGGCTCACTGCAACCTCCACCTGCTGGGTTGAAGCAATTCTCCTGCCTTAGCCTACCAAGTAGCTGGGAGTACAGGCACGCACCACCACGCCCAGCTAATTTTTGCATTTTTAGTAGAGATGGGATTTCACCATATTTGCCGGGATGGTCTCAATACTTTGATCTCATGATCTGCCTGCCTCAGCCTCCCAAAGTGTTGGGATTACAGGCATGAGCCAATGTGCCCAGTCAGCCCTCTCTGTTTAAAATTTTTTTTTTAAAATATGGAATGCTTCATAAAGCCATGCTAATCTTCTCTGTATTGGTCCAACTTTTTTCCTAAGCAAGAATTTTCTCTCCCTACTGATCTAATATGAGATTACTGCATTTCCCAGCCCACATCCTCACCATCTCCGCCTTTCCTGAGGTTGGTGAGATGGGATTCCAATTGGAGAAGATCCCTCCCTGAAAAGCCTGCATCTAAGGAGACCCCAGGGTATCCTAAGCAGGTGCCCCAGCCCCACACCCTCTGGAATATGAGAGAAGGGAGCCTTGAAGGAGGTGTTTCTTCATTTGTAAAATGGGGATAATAGTACCTGGGGTTTGAGCATGTGTGCGTGCGTGTGTGTGCGTGTGCGTGTGCGTGTGTGTAGAGGCACAGGACTTGGATGTTATGAGTGCTTGATAAATTCCAAAGGGCTGCAGAGTATGTCCTGCTGTCTCATAGAGGTGATGATCCTCTGAGTTCAGCGAAGCCCTGAGGGCTTAGAACTTAAGACACCTATGCACTGGGGAGCTCCTGGCTTTGGAGGATGCCCAAAGTCAGCTGTGGCAGAGCCCTGCCAGAAAACCCATGCCTGCCCTTCCTTCCTAGGTCCGACAAGAAAGGATTCTGTGCATATGGCTCTAAGAGGAAATATCTTTCCACTCATCCTGTCAATTCCAGCTCAAAAGCACTTCCTTTAGGAAACCCTCCCTACAGCCAACCCCACCCCAAAAACGTTCTCTTCCTTTGTTGCCATCCCTGGAACCTCTCCTCAGCACTGCTGTAAGGCTGCCTCCCTCGCTTTAGAGGAAAATGGTGATGGTAGAAAGGAAGGTTTAGAAGGACATATCCTCACAGGTTCACAGCCCCCCCTCTAAGGAGAGGGTGGCATGGCTAGAATCAAGGAAGAAAGGGAGAAAGGTGGTCCCACATACAGTAAACATTTCTCAGCCAGGCATGGTGGCTCATGCCTGTGATCCCAGCACTTTGGGGAGGCCGAGGTGGGCGGATCACCTGAGGTCGGGAGGTCGAGACCAGCCTGGTCAACACGGTGAAACCCCACTCTACTAATAACACAAAAATTAGCCAGGCATGGTGGTGCATGCCTGTAATCCCAGCTACTCAGGAGGCTGAGGCAGGAGAATCACTTGAACCCGGGAGGAGGAGGTTGCAGTGAGCCGAGATCACACCATTGCCCCCCAGCCTGGGTGACAAGGGGGAAACTCCGTCTCAAAAAAAAAAAAAAAAAAAAAGAACAAGCATTTCTCTACTGAGCAAACCCTCCACACCCTGTTGGATGAGAGGGGAGTGGGATCTCCAGCTGTCTGGAGAAGCAAGCTCTCTTGCCAGAGCCCTTTACTTCCCAGCTCCAAGGCTTCAAGATGGAGAGCCCCAAGCCAGGTGCTAGAGGAGTCTCTCCTTGGAAAACTCACCTCTATCTATTCCACTGGGGAATCCAGTTTGAAATAGACTTGCCCTTCCTCCCTGCAGGACTTCTGACTGTGAGCTTCAATCACCCCTGCATACCCATTTGGTTGATTTTGTCTCTCTAAGGAGGCCTGAGCCCAGCCATTCCCCAGTGTGTTCTCCTATTCTTCTAGGCTTCCTCATTCTTCCTCATCCACCTCCTCCTCTTCTTTCTTTTCTCCTTTTTTGAGACAGGGACTCACTCTGTCAGTCAGGCTGGAGTGAAGTGGCACAATCTCAGCTCACTGCTGCCTTGACTTCTGAGCTCAAGTGATCCTCCTGCCTCAGTCTCCTGAGTAGCTGGGACTACAGGCATGCATCACATTGACCTGCTAATTTTTGTACTTTTTGTAGAGATGGGTCTCCCTATGTTGCCCAGGCTAGTCTCAAACTCCTGAGCTCAACTGATCTGCCTGCCTCAGCCTCCCCAAGTGCTGGGATTACCAGCCTGAGCCACCTTGCCTGATCTTGTTTTCTTATCACCATGCTCTTCCATCTCCCAAATCTGTGACTGCTACCTTCACTCTGATCCCTAACGGTGAAAGCATGTGCGTGTGTACAAACATGAATATGCCTGCCAAATTGTATAAAGTGGGAACATGTGTATGGGTTTTTGTGTTGGGAATTTGTGAAGACAGGTGTGTTTAGGGATGGAACTCTCTCTCCCCTAACGTGAGGCATCTTAGATATGTGTGGACAGGTATTTCTCATGGGGTAAGAACACAAGTATAAATGTTACATGCTTAGATCGTCTGTATTTTTGAGTACACACACCAGTTATTTGACTTGTATATCGAATTTATGTAAGAGACAAGTACTGATAGTGCTTTTATTCAAGGATAGTGCCAATTCATCTTCAGGTATATAGATGTGTATACACATCACAGCCAGAGCTCTGTTTGCAGATCCATAAATGAACGAATGCTAGTGTGAACATCAGTGTAGGCACCTGCATATTGGTATATGTGAGTATATATGTTGTATTTGAATGGAGTCCCTGTGTAGTTGTGTACACGTGCCAATAAATGCTTGTATATTGTGGACACGTGTCCATCAAGGCCATAGACACTAATGTTTAGAGGCAAATCTTGAACACAGCCTGGAAAATGCGCCAGGGAGACTGGCCTGCAGTATTTCCTGTGCCCTCCCAGAAGCCATCCAACTGGACTCATCCTCCACTCCCAGATTTTGTCCGGGTTCAAGCAACACTTCAGCCTTCTGTGGAGCCAGGAAAGGCGGGGCACCGCATGGGCTAAAGCTCAGAGGAAGGATCCCTTCTGCAGCTTCGGGGGCCTGAGAGGAGCTGCGGTGTCGCCACCAAACCCCGGCCCCTGCCGGAAGCGGAAGCCAGCATGGGAGGCAGTGGGGTACAGTGGCGGCGGGTCGCGGCTTGCCGGGCCGAGGGCGCTCCGCGGGGGCGTGCGCGCCACACACGTGCGGGGCAGGCTGGGCGCCGGGCGGCACCCTCCCAGCCCCAGCGTCTATTTACCAACAAACTGCCGGTGCTCAGCAGCGACGCATTCCGATGCACTTACTAAGTGGCTGGCGGTCTGCACTTGACTCCCCTGCAGGTCCACGGCGGCTTTTGACGTGTAGACCCCCGAGATCTAGAGGCTGTGAATGCAGATTCCCTGCGTCCCCGCAGCCCCAGGGCCTCTGCCCACTGCCCAGCTCCGCATCCCTTGGGCATCCAGCCTTACCACCTCTCTAGCATTTTTGCCATTATGACCGCGGTTCCCGGACTGCACCAACTGCCCTGCAACCCAGCACTTCTTGGAGAAGACGCCGAGATAGACCGACCTGGGCGTGCGCACCGCCCCCTCCCATTTCCCACTACTTTACTGCGGGCTGCCCTCGGGGGGCGGGGCCCGGCTCCAAGTCTCCGTGAGGTCACTGCGGGCGGTAGCCAATCCGGGGCGTCTAAGAGGGCGGGGCCCCCGTCGGGTCCCTGGAACCAAACCCGATGGAGAGTAGGGGGGCCCCCCATGAATTTGGGGGGGAGGGGAAAGCCATGAGGGGCACCCCCCCAGAACCCCTTTCCCAGGCGCGAGTTCTCCGGTGAAAGAAGCGAAAGAGACACTTTCCCCGGGATCTTAAGTGTGGGTGCCGCTGGCTGGGGGGCCCGTCCGGCTTGGAAAAGAGAATTGGCAGAGGGAGCGGACTACGTGCCAGGCCATGGCCCTTCAGCCCGGACCCTGGCTACAATGACCTCTTTGCCCTGCCCGCTCGCCGGCCGGGACTCCTCCAAAGCTCTCTTCCCAGACCTTACCCCCGTCCCGTCGGTAGTGGCTGCCTACCCGCTTGGCCTGTCCCCTACAACCGCAGCCTCCCCCGATTTGTCTTACTCCAGGCCGTATGGCCACCTCCTGTCCTACCCCTACACCGGGCCAGCGAACCCCGGAGACTCCTACCTGCCCTACCAGCAACCGGCGGCGCTCTCTCAGCCCCTCTGCGGCCCCGCAGAGCACCCTCAGGAACTTGAGGCAGGTAAGTTCAACCGTGGCCGCTCTTCCCACCTCTGGGGTACGGCTCCTGTGTGCCCCCAAACTTCTCCCTCGTCTGGTTGGACGCAGCTAGCGGGATTCAAACCTTCCTCGGATTCCCTGGGTTGTGGGGGTGGGGAGGAGGACGAGGGGATGGGGCGGGAGACTCGGGGGTGGGGGGTGGGGGGTGGAGGAGGAGAGTAGATCTAGGTCTCCTTTCAAAACCGACCTGGTTTCGATTTGCAGTTGTATAAAGACGGCGGGAGGGCTCCCACCCCACCCACTGGAGCAGCGGGGCTGTGTACCTATTAGTAAGGGAAAACTGAAGCAATCCAGATGTGAGGATGGGGGCCTAGCCCCTTCCTCAGAATTCCCCCCATCCTGCACTCTCTTCCTCCCCCATGTCGCCCCTCTCCGCTTCTGTCCTGTCTCAGAAAGTGGTGATCAAGCCAAACCCTGAAAAGCAAATCAAGTCCCGGTTGGAGGGCTGTAGACATCGAGGCTGATTCCAGGCTCTGTCCTCTCCCTTCCCGGGCCTTACCCGCTCTCCTCAGACCAGGCCGGACCTTGACTGGAAGCTGGCCTGGCGGAATCTGGGACTAGGACCCCTCCATCCATTGTTCTGAGAATGTGGCCAAAGGCTAGTCAGAAAGTCCCTCATCTCTCCCTGACTACCTCAGTCTTCCAGCCAAAGGGGCAGGCCATGGCTGTCATCGCTGCCCTTTGGCTTTGGGGTAGCTTAGACCCGTTGCCTGGAGCAACGCTGAACTCTTGAAAAAGTGCTCACTGGAAGGCCTGGAAGCAGAGAAGCTGGCCCATCTTCGGGATCCTGGGCCTTGCAGCTGAGCTGACATAAAATCTGGGTATGGGCACTGCCCACAATCCCATCTGCACTGGCTCCAATTTGGCCTCCAGGTCCCTGGACTCTCTGCCTCCATCTAATTGGCCACCCCCTCCCCCTGCAATTGTCTTTGGCACAGTCTCTTCCAAGGAGGCACAGCCACTAGGTGACTTCACTGGCGTCAGTTCAGGACCAAGACATCTTCCTCCCTTCTCCTGTGGCTCTGACATCAGCTCACAAACCATCAGAGCCAGAAGTGACCCTAGGATTTGGGAGCTCAACTTCTTTGATGTATAGATGGGTAAAGCAGGCGGCCAGGAGCATCGATTTTAGGGAGCTTCCTCCAAACCCCCAAAGGTTAACTGCCTTCTGTGCAGAACTGAGGCTGTCTCTCCTGGGTTGCGGGTGTGGTTGGAGTATGGCCAGTTTCGAGGAGCAGTTCTAGTTTTTACAAATGAATCCTTCAGTGTATGCTAATAGGATATGTTTGTGTGTGTGTTTCTGGGGGAGGAGGGATACCTTGACCTTGTCCTCAGGAGAGTTACTGGCAGCAGGCTGGTGTTATCAGTCACGTCTGCCATATCCCTTGCTTTCCTTCGTTTGATCTAAGGACAACAGAGTGGAGAGAGAGTTCATTTCTTTAAGGACTTTCCCCAATCCAACGAAAAAACCACACACACCCAGATTTCCTTAGAATAAATTTCTAGCATTTCTCTACTGGAACTGGTGGGTTTGGGCACTCTAGAGTGAAGGGCATGTGATCAAGAGCTTGGGGTCCTCCTTTTACCTCCACTCTATGTCCACCCCTGCCTCCGGAAGAGGTTTGGCTGTTGAGCCTGGAGGGAGGCCCTGGGGCTCCGTGATCATAACCCGGGCAGATCCAGTTGCAACTTGCTGGAACTGGGGTAGAGAAAGGCAGCCGTCAGGGAAAGAACTTGGAGGACTGGGGCAGGGAGAGCTGCGCGAGTGGGTGGGCCTCAGAGGCTCCCTGCGTTCCCGCTCGAATTGCGCAGTTCACGCAGCCAGAGAGGCGCGGGTGGGTTCTGGGCTGCCAGCCCAGAGCTGCCAGCAGTGGGATCGAGGCAGGACAGGCGCGGGCGGGAGCGGAAACCCAACGGTTTTTCTGGGAATTGGTTGAGGCAGGGTCTAGGAGGGAGGATCTCAGAAGCCCGCAGCGCCCGAGGCCACGGGTGAGGGATGCGGGGGAGGTGACGGCAGCTGGTGACCGCTGGCTGGCCGAGGGCGGGTACACTGACGTGTGGAGGGTGAGCCTGACTAGGGGAAGAAGGTGGGGGGACGCGGGCGGACACAAGCCACTCTCTCTCGGCTCAGGTCAGCTGGACAGACCCACAGGGAATGTGGCGGACGCTGCCCTAAGCCCGCGGGCAATGAGGCTGCTCCAGCTGCCCTACTCCTCCCATTGTCTGGGACCTCTCCGGCGTCCCCGTAGAGCCTTGCAGGTTAGAGTGGCTGACTCGGAAGAACGAAAAGCCCTGTCCTAATCCTTCCCCGCACCTCAGCATTCTAGGGCCTGGCTGTCCCACGGCCGAGATTCCTGGAGAGCTAGGCGGCCCAGAGCTGACCAGATTCCCCGCGGCAGCACCGCAGCGTGATCCAAGAATGACCTGGTCGGGCTGCGCTGCGCGCTCTTGGAAGCCGGTTCACTTTCCCTGCCGCGGGAACCCCTCTGTGTGCGCTGCCCTACGTAGGAAGGGGCTGCCCCACGCAGACCCAGCTTCTGGGGCCCCTGAAAACTCATCTGGGCACAGCGGGAGGGGAGAGATGATCACTTTTCCTGTGGGGTGAACCTGGGCAGAGGGGCGCCCCGTTACGGCAGGCGAGACCAGGGCAAACCCGGGGTCACTGCGCTGCGAGGCTGGGACTCAAGGTCCTTTCAGCCGGGCCTGTCACCCACCCCTCTGGCCGCAGCCAGAGGCTGCCACGCGGACACAATCTCGAGCCTCTGAGCCTTGCTCTTGAGTTCCCACAGCCTGCAGTGTCCTTCCTCTGTCATCTCTAGGCCTCGGCTTATCCCTCTACTAGCCTTTCTGCCCCGCCCTACCCCTAGCTGGCGCCACCGCCCGGGGCTGAACTCCGACCTTCCACTGCAGGCGCCGCGGTACCTTGGCTGTGGCCCTCGGCGCTTTCTTCTTGCAGTCACAGAACCCATACGAGCGGGAGCTCCCTGAGAGCAGAACTGCGCCTTGTATCACCTGGCGCGGTGAACGTGGGGGTTGAAACGCTCCACTCGGAAGGTAGAGGGCAGGGGCAAGGGGGCGATCCCCGTGGCTGTGCTTTTTGCTAATTGCCGCCCACGGCCCGCAGACGAGATGAAAATAAGCCTATGAAATCGCCTGTCCTACCCATTAGCTCACCTCCTCGCCCCCTACACCGTGTTGTGCTACCCACTAGACTCGGAGAAGCCGCGGCTGTCCCCGGAACCCTCGGAGCGGCGCCCGCAGGCCCCGACCAAAAAGCTCCGCAAGCCAAGGACCATCTACTCCAGCCTGCAGCTGCAGCACCTAAACCAGCGTTTCCAGCACACGCAGTACCTGGCGCTGCCCGAGAGGGCCCAGCTGGCAGCGCAGCTCGGCCTCACGCAGACCCAGGTGGGGCCAGTGTCATCCTTCCCGAGCTCTCACCTTCCCCACACGTGTTCTCTGGTAACTCATTCCCCAGCCCCAGGTGTGAATGACTGATGGCTTGGTGCTGTGCCCTGTTGTCACAGTTCTCCCGGGAATGTTTGAAGCTGGCTCTTAGCAAGCGCAGGCGGGAATGTGTGTTGAAAGGTGTGCATGTATGTGCGGGTGGGGTGGAGTGGGTCAGGAAGAGGAGGGTACAGCAGGCAGGGAGACATGGATACTAGCTCAGAGGCAGGAACTCAGGCGACTGCTGGGGCTGTAGAGGCCTGGAGTAGATGTCCCCAGACTCGGCTGGGCTCCCACAACTGCTCCTACACCTGGGTCCCTTTCCCTTCCTCGAAACTTTTCACACATATCTTCCTCCTGATCTTTCATTCTTTTCTCTTTTCTCCCCAAAGGTAAAAATCTGGTTTCAGAACAAACGCTCTAAGTATAAGAAGCTCCTGAAGCAGAATTCTGGGGGGCCAGAAAGAGACTTCCCTGGGAGGACCTTCTCCGTGTCTCCCTGCTCCCCACCCCTCCCCTCCCCCTGGGATCTACCCAAGGCAGGGACCCTGCCCACCAGTGGCTATGGCAACAGCTTTGGAGCCTGGTATCAGCATCACTCCTCAGATGTCCTGGCTTCGTCTCAGATGATGTGAGTCTGGGGAAGGGCTGATCAGGCCCCCAGCACTCCTGCAAAGCCCAGGACCCAGGCCATCTGCCTGCACCTTCTCTGGGCTGGGAGGAAACCAGCTCCAGATGGGTTTTCTCTGGAGGACAAGGAGATAGAGGAGAGAAAGAGCAGAGCCTGTGCCCCTAGATCAAGGACCTTGGCCATAACTGTTGTCCCTACCACTACCATGGACTGGACACCTTCACTCCAGCAGGACAAATGCTCCGGAGAGAGAGCCATTGACTGGAGTTGAGACTGTCCCCGGGACCCTTGGTTTTGCCACTCCCCCCACTACAGCCTGGGTACAAAACCAGCAAGAAACATGGAGTATTTTTTTCTCTGTGTGCCTTGGGCCTTGCCCAGCCCATTTGTGAGGGAAAGCAGAAGTGGACCTCAACAGGGGCTACCATCAGCTCCCACCTAACCAGCAATTTTTCCCTGAGGTCAGCCCGTTACCCCCATCACTGATTTACGTACTTACCATCCTTGGAGGTAGAAGAGATGCAGAAAAATGTAGAGTTCATGGACCTATGGGTAATTTATGCTCTCCTCCTTAAAAAAGCCCTCTTTCCCCCATCTCCCCTTTTTGAATAGATAATGGGTCCAATTTTTCATATAATTCAATAGGTATTTATTGAAAGGCTCTCTCCTATTCCCATGAATCCACAGGCAAACACTTTTGAAAACCTGGTAAGGAAATACTCGGGGAAAAATGGGGACAAACTAGCTCTCTAGATTAGTGCGGGTCTAGACACCTCCAAATAGATGGGTAGGCCCATCGATTCAGCTCCTCGAAGCTGTCTCTGTTCAAAGGAACTGTGCAGATTTAGAACCAATCAGAGCTTGAGCTTCACACCACGAGCTTCCAGAGATTAAAGTTTGTACAAAACTTTGCACGCTGGCTGTGAGGTGTGTTTGTTTCCTGACTTCTCATGTGTAGGGGCTGGTCAAGCATCTCTTCTGGTCCAGCTGACTCTTCTGCCATGGAATTACAGGAGTCAGAGGCACTGGACTCTAGATTTGCCTTGCCACTAAGTAGCTCTGTTATTCTGTCTCTGGAATGTTCTAACAATGTCCACCGTTTCATATGCTCCTGTGTGAACCCAAGAGATGCTCATGCAAGGTCTGAGTGCTCCTCCCCAGCAGACGCTCTCCTGGCCCTGTTCTGGAGGGAGCCAGGCACCTTCCAGCCCCTGTGCCTCACCTTTAGCCCAGGGAGAGGCCCAGTTCACCTTGAAAGAGGGCATGCCCACGGATCCGGTCCAGTCCCACCTGGAGAGGTGTGCTGCTTGGGGGCAGGATGGCCTCAGCTCACCTTAGGGAAGGAGGAGGGGCAGTTCTGAGAAGGAAAACACCAGAAAAAAAACCTGGAATTCTCTTCCATGCAACAAACATTTGAAGAGCCTGTGCTCTGCCGGATCCTAGGGATACCATGGTGACCGAGGCAAACAAATGACCAGACGCTGCTTTGGTGAGTTCCAGGCAAAGGGAACACAGATAGCAGCGTGGGTCTTGCAAGGGGCTCCAATCTAGCCTGGGCCTGGGGGGTCAGCGCTGGGTGAGAAGGGCAGGCAGCCTGGGAGCAGCAGAACCCGAGAGACTTCTGGCCACCAACCCCACCGGACTACATAGCACCACCTTCACTCCCACCAGGATCAGCAGGATAAGGAACGCCCGTGGGAGGGGGGCTGAGGACAAGGGTGGCAGAATAATTCAGGGAATCCAGCCCAGCATGGCCCGAGGGGTTGGGGGAAGGGCCTCCAAATCCAGGCCAAACACTTCCAAGTTGAGCTTTGCTCTTACTGCCTAGACCTGTTCCCGGACACTGCAAACTCGGTGCCTGCCCCATCTGAAAAGCCCACTCAGACACCTCCAGCTAACTCTGCAGGCCAGAGAAAAGCCCATATTGGAGTCATATGTAGGGCAGAGGGGTGTGAAACCCCCAGCTCCCGATGCTGCAGTTCCTCATCCTATCTGGGTCAGTGACTACCCCCATACTACAAAACACACACAGAGGATCTCTTGGGGATGGCACGTGGCACAGGTAGGCCAAAGCCAAGATCCAAGAGTGGTGAGGAAGGGGAGCACCAGGAGGAGAAACCTCTTTCTCTTCCTCCACTGCCTTCCCTGCTCCAGGCCCCAGGCTCCACCAGTTCAGTCACCCCAGCCCGGGTTCTCTCCTTTGGGTCTCCTCTGAGGCCACAGGCCCTCCAGGCAGCTGTTCCCGCCCACTGCAGGTTGCACACACCTCTTTCCACAGACCCAAGATAAGATCTACCGCCCCATCTAGGAAAGCCTCCAAAGGCGAGATTAATTGGACAGCCCAACACAAGTCACATTGTTAAAACAACAGCCCAGGTTGTAAAGTTAAGTAGCAGAAGGAGTGTAATTACTCTCAGCCAGAGGCCAGCTGAGCTGACAGTGTCCCCCCTCCTTCCCCCATCCCTCCTTTTCAGGGGAAATGGGAATCTCTTTTCCATTTGGGAGCTAGTCCAGTTTCCCTGAGCTCCTGGGAGGTGATGGACCTGGAGCCCTGGTGGAGGAGGTGCCCATTCTCTTCCCTCCAAGCCATCAAGGCTTCAGGAGAGCCCCATGGTTCCTTTCCCCAAAAAAGCCCTGCTGGGAAAATTGGGTCAGTAATGGCTGGGTACCGAGACTGGGTGGTTAAGAACAGGGGCTTTAGGCTACAGAGTCCCAGCTCTGTCACCCGCTAGCGGTGTGACTACTGGTGAGTTACTTAACCTGTCTCTGAGCCCTGCTTGTTCCCATCCCCCACCCCCGCCCAAGTGGGAATACTAACAGGACTTGCTTTGCAGTGTGGTTGTGATGACAAAATGAGATAGTGCTTGTAACATGCTTGACACGGTGCCTGGAACATAGTAAGCACTTAATAAATGGCATTTACAACTGCCGTGATTATCGGAGGAAGAAAGGGGTGGTGTTACAGCCAGGGGGAATTCCTACTGCCGGCCATTCACCTTCTGCCTCTGGGAGAATTGCCTCCTCAAGGGGCGGAGGAGGAATGAGGCTGGAGAACTCAAAGCATTGCTGGTCACCACCATCCGAGAGCTGGATCCAGGCAAGGTCCCAAATGCAGAAGGCGCAGCACAGTGCATCTGAAGTCAGCTGAAACTGGAAGACGAAAATTGTGTCCAGAGAACATCCAGGGCACATATTGCCATCTCCACAGGCCTCAGCAACAGGAAAGCTGACTTGGGTGTCCCCTCCTGTCTGGGTCCCTCACCTTCCCTTTCCCCATGGACTATTTTAAGTCATGCTCCATGCTCTCCCCCAACAAAATGAGATTTAATTAATTCAATTAAAGCAATTTTGGGAGCAGCTCCTGAAGGCTTTCAATGTGAGATAATTACAAGTAATTTGCTGCTGTGAAGAGGAAAAGGGCACATGGGGTCTTCGGGGAAGGGAGGTAGCCCCCTCCTCACCAAATACTGCTCTTGAGGGATTCCACACTGCAATCTTAACTGCCCTCCCATTGGCCAAATTACTTGCAGGTGGGAAGAAGGAGAACGTGGTGGTGGTGGTGGTTGAGGGGGAAGACACCCAGTGACAGGCCGCCCCTCCTCCATCCCCAAATCTGAGATGGGGGTGGGGAGTTGGCTGTTCCCTGACAAAATGTCTGCAAAGCCACAGCAGCTGATTACTCAGCTCCAAACCTCATTTGAGTTTGGATGCCTGGACTTGCCTCTGGGATTGTATCCAGAAAGTCAATGGAATGTGATCCAGGTAGCTGAGGCCTGTGTAGACGGGGCCTTGGCGATCAAGGACCTCCCCAGAATGTATAAGGGATGTGCAAAGAGAGAGGAAAGTCAGAGAAGGTGGCAACGATTTCGGGCTTCTCATTTCTCTCCTCCCCTGCTCGAAGTCTTTCTGGTTTCTGCCTGGTGTCTAATCTTGATTCCTCCCATGGTAGAGATGGCAAAGCTCCTCTCAGCTGAACGCGCAGAGGCTTCTTCCTTCCAAAAAGCATCCTATAGGTATTTCTCATCCACTGCCCCTGGGATAACCCTTTCCTTCCTAGGCCTCCCTCGGCCAGGAGGAGGCAGGAGGGGGATGCGATGGAGCTGAGAGGGAACTGGAGGTAGCAGGGGGTTAAAACGAGGTATGGGAATGAGCTTCAGGCCTCTGCAAAGACCCTCTGGACCCCCGCCCACAAAGGAGCTGGTTTTCAAGAGACTAGAGTTCCCCTTGACCCGGGAGCCTCATTCTAGGAGCCTCATTCCAACAATTATGGTTGAAAAGAAAAAGTCACTGACCCCAAAGTGTTTCTCTTTCATACCTTCCCGTCTCATTTCAAGGTGGGATAAAGAGGAAGAGTTACTTCAGCTCTCGTCCCTCCTCACCTCACCCCACCCCACCTCGTGCCTCTGCCCCTTCTCTGAGCAGCATGGCTACTGGACCTGGGGAGCCAGGAGAAATTGCACCAGTCAGTCCTTGGGTGACTGCTGTCTCTCCCTCCAAGATGAAGACACTTTGAGAAGGACAAGTGGCCTCCTAGCCATGCATTTCTCATTTCCTGGCCTGTGCAGATTGCTTAAAAAGGGGGAATAAAAGTCCCTCCTCCTCCAAACCTCAGAATACAAAGGCCCTAGAGAAATGCTTGGAGACCAGGCAGGCCCAGGGAGCCAGGCACACAGACACTGCATGTACACATGTGAACCCACAGAAGATTTGCACACAGGCAGGCGGGCACACACAATGGGATGCAGGGAGTATGGGGAGGGGGCAGAGCCACACATAGAGACACATGTGTGCACGAAGCATTCCCATGGTTGTGCACGGACACACACAGAAAGATGCAGATGCAGCTTATGTACTCACAGAGAGAAGCACAACACCTCGATGCACCGCAAGGGAGATGCCCAGCGACTTGACCGTGGGCAGAAACAGACACGCATGCCCAGAAATATACAGATTAGCTTCCTTGTGTGCAAGCACATGTGTGGAGGCGGGGCAGTCTCTATCTTTCTCTTCTCCTGCCCCCTTCCTTTCTCTGTCCTTTTCCTAGTTCTCCATCTCTTTTCTGGTAGTATTTCCCTGTTGCGTGGTTGAGGAGGGAGGCTGAACAGCCACAGAAACCTGGTAATTTTATTCTGACTTGATTGTTTGTGTTCCCTGAAGCTTTGCCGACTTCTTTTCCTAAGCTCTAGCAAGAAGAGCTCTGTCCCCAGCCCTTCCTGGTACAACCCATGGCTCCTGGACATGGCCTTGGAGTCCAGCTCTGCCTCGGGAACGCAAGAGGCTAGTTAAGGGAGGCTTAAGTGGCCTTTCCATCAGAAGTCTCCACTTATCCCTCTGCCCCTTTTCCCTGATGCTGACTGCAATCCAGGGAAGCAGGACGGGGCTTCAGATCAGAGTGGTGAGGAAGGCACAGCTCTGCGAACTACACATCTGGATCCGATACTACTTGCTGTGTGACCTTGGGCAAGTTACATACCCTCTCTGAAGCTCAGATCATTTCTCTTGCTACGTTCTGGGTGCAGGGGCCAAGGTGGGCTAATGTGTGTCTACCACCACCTTCCACTCTGTTCTGGAG